TTTTGCTTCGGCCTCGATGCTTTGCCTCGTTGCTTGCCAGAGCCTGCCTGCAAGGCAGTGAGCACCCCCTGTGGGCCTCCCATGTGCAAACAGCACCAGATTCAATCCCCTGTGCAGGGTCTAATTCGCTTGTGGCTTTAGGGAAGGGAACAAAACATTGCCTCCTCTTTGTGAGGAGGTTGCAGACACATGTGAACTGAGCCGCCTCAGCTGTTCAAATAGTAAAGCTAGATCTGTTGGGGGGTGTGGAGATGGTGGGGGATGGAGGGGGCACACAGGAGCGGGGGGGCGGGGTGGCAGCGAGAGGGTGCAAGTCTCAGCCAGAAAGGTCGGGTGGGACTTCTTAGGGATTTCCGGGGCTAGCACGGGCATTTTTCTTTCTGCCTTGAAGCGTGATTCGTATAGCACGCTCTCCTGTGAGCTCTGCTTGCTCAGGAAGCCCTATTTCTCCTTTTTTTCAGCATGGGGGTGAGGGCTGCAGAGACACGGGGCGGCTCTGTGGCACAGGGAGCAGATCCCCAGCCTCTTCCCATGCCCAGCACGGAGAAGATCGGGTGGGATTTGTTTCTCAGGTTTCCCCGAAGGAATAACCCCCGAATGCCTCTTCCGTACCCACCCCACTCACCGCAGGATGCCTTGTTTTCAGGAACAGAGGTCTGGGTCTGCCCGAGACACCCCTGGGAACTCTGACCTGAATGATGGTTCTCAAGTTCTCTAGGCCCAGCAGCCTGAGCAGAGTCTGGTCAGCAACGATTCCTACTGCCTCGACCCCCCCCAAAATTGCTGCACGTATAAGGAGATCTGTGTGTGCTCACTTACGACACGTATGGAGACTGGATGAGTGAATCTGATTTTAGGGTCTGTAGATAATGATTAAAAATTCCTGGCTGATGGGGCTCGAGCCATAGCACAACCAATAGGGCATTTGCCTTGTAAGCAACCGACCTGGGTTTGAGTCTCAGCATCCCATGTGGTCTGTTGGCCACCGCCACAGGTAATTTCTGAGCATAGAGCCAGGAGTAATCCCTACATGTGGCCAGGTGCGGCCCAAATCATCCCCCTCCCTCCACCCCCTAAATAAACTATAAATTTAAAAAAATTTCCAGGCTGAAAGATAGTACAGGGAATAAGGCACTTGCCTTGCACAGGGCCATAACAAACACCTCACATAAAAAGATGTGTGAGAGCCATAGCCAGGAAGTGTGGCCCCTTGCTGAACACGTGTGAATCCCACAGTGCCCCCTGGCCAGCACCAGAACCATAATTGATGCATCTCAGCTAAGAGGGTCACCACAATAAGCACCGAGGATGAGTGTATGAGCACCAGAGCCTGATATGTCACCCTTGGAGAACACTACATCTAGGAGTGAGTGTGTGTGAGTGTGTGTGTGTGTGTGTATGTGTGTGTGTGTGTGTGTGTGTGTGTGTGTGTGTGTATGTGTATGTGACCCCCTCCGCATCATTGCAGTACCATTATCAACAATGGAAAGGAGAAGAGAATCAAATCAATTCTGGGTCACCTAATAAAGTTTATATTTTCCCATTTGATTTTTATAGCTTTTTCTGACACTCGTTTCTGTCATTTCTCTCTGTTAAATGCACAGCTACTATGTGCCAGGAACTAGCCTAAATATGTTCTGTGAATTTTTTCACTAAAAAAAATATGCTTGGAGGAGTTGGAGAGATTGTGCATCGAGCAGGCCACTTTCCTTGCACATGATACACCTGGTTCGATCCCTAGCACCCCATTGTTCTCTAGAGTGATCCCTAAGTACAGCCAGGTGTAGCTCTCCCCTCCTCCCTCCATTGCCCCCACAAATGTGCTTGGAAATTGAAATATCTGTATACATAATAAGCCTAGCTAGCAACAGGAGGAAAATAAGGAGGGTGAATTTTATCTTAAGGCTCAACAATTTTTTGAATTATTTCTTTGGATAATTATTTCATGAGACTATCAGAGAACAGGAGAAGTGAAGAGATGGAGGATTTGCTTAATACTGTTTCCTAGAGAACAGCAGAGAATAGTCACAAAGGTATTTGCAAAGGATGAATTCATTCTAGATTTTTTTTTCTTCGGGGAGGGTGGGGTAGTTCTCCCTCGTGGGACTCAAGGGATCCAGGGGCCATTCCCAGCCAGTAATACTGTCACTGTAACACTGTCCTTCTGTTGTTCATCGATTTGCTCGAGCGAGCACCAGTAATGTCTCCCTTGTGAGACTTGTTGTTGCTGTTTTTGGCATATCGAATACACCACGGGGAGCTTGCCAGGTTCTGCCGTGCAGGCGGGACACTCTCGGTAGCTTGCCAGACTCTCCGAGAGGGACGGAGGAATCGAACCCGGGTCGACTGTGTGCAAGGCAAATGCCCTACCCACTGTGCTATCGCTCCAGCCCATTTTAAGCCAGTAGGGTGAGAAATTCAGTGCACAGACCACCAGGGCTACAGCTGGCAATATTTAGGAGGCCAAGTGATGCCAGGATTGAAGGAGGTCAGACACCTGCTGACTTGTGCCTTCACTGCTCTCCTATCTCCCAGTCCTCTTTCTAGAATCTCAAGGTGTCTGCTAAGGGTTTTGTCCCAATTTCAGCACTCTGATATCTATAATTCCTCCAGCCTGCTCTGTGCAGGCAGTCCAAGGCACTTGAATGACAGAAAGAACCCCGTTTATTAAGGAGGTGCTTCCCAAGAACGCTGCCTTCAAGCACTCCATATGCATTATTTCACTGGGCCTCAGACACCATCAGAACCGAATATTTCAGGTCCTCTTGCAAGCAGAGACCTTTAAGGAGAGACCTGGGGCCATTACAGGTCTGCAAGTTTCCCAAGTGGGGAGCACATACACATGATGGGAGAAGAAGCACCCCACTACTCAGTCAGCCCAGAGAGGGGAGGTGGAGAGCAAGCAAGCATGCTGGGGCAGAACCGTGCTTTCTGATGATTCCCAGGCCCATCTGGGTGGTATCACTTACCAGCCTGACGCAGCCAAGATTTTACAGGGTGGGAGGAGCCTAAATCACAGGGGATCACCTGCTCCTCCGGCTGCAACCGACACTCAGGAAGAGCTGGGCCCACCCAGAGAGGCTTCTCCAGCTTACCTGTCGTGCAGTGGCTGTCCCAGCGGGCAGGCCACACCTGTGGCCACCTGCCTCCCCACCCAGGCCAGAGAGAGAGCAGGACTGGAGGCCTGGAGCTGGGCACACCGAGGACGGCCTCCTTGGTGGCTATTTTCCAGGTGTGTCTGTGTGATGCAGCCGGACGGGGACTCCGTCCTTGATGACAGAAAGCCTGTTCCAGACCCTGAGGGTGTCACATCTGCTGTGGGGCAGAGGCAGAGCAGGCCACTGGGCCGCGACCTCACCTTAGCACAGCCTACAATTATGGCCTGTGAGACTTGTTGTACACTCCCAGAAGCACACAGCAGTTGTAAAGAAGGCCTGTTCTTTCTCCATGCAGCTTCCAAGTTACATACATACATACAGACAGACACACACACACACACACACACACACACACACACACAGAGCCATGCCATGTATAGACAGCCTTTCCTGTGGTGTGATTGGAATGCAATTTTTAAGTTTAATTTTTCTCAAAGTTGCTCATGATTGGGTTTACATGATTGGTCATACAATATGGAATGCTTTTTTTTTGAGTCTTGAAATGAACTTGTGAGTGACAACATCACCCTCCCTCCGCTCCCATAGTTTTGGTTAAATGGAACACTTAAAGGAGATAGGACCAGGGTTAAGGCGCTTGCCTTGCACATTGCCAGTAAAGTTTGATCCCTAATCCCTAGCACTGCTTGAGGCAGCCAAAGCACTGCCAAGAGTTATCCCTGAGCTGGAGCCAGGAGTAAGCCCTGAGCACCTCTGGGTGTGGCCTACCCCCCAAATATGTCTCCTCTTTTGCTATCCTATTTTGGTATGGTTTTGTACCTAAAACTCTCAGGCTGTGGTGAACACACGTGGCATTGGTGACACTTGACCTTTGAAGAATCCTGGGAAGAACATGGATTGGAAAAGAAAAACACAAAACCGTGGACTGGAGATCTCAGCAGAGAACCAGACTTAACCAGGTCTCCTTCCCTGAAGACGTGTTACACCCGGAGGAGCTTCCCGGGTCTAATCCCCCACCTGCCGCTCAGGGTGCAGGCTCTGCTCCCACTTAGTGGCCCTGCAGGATAGTGTGGGGCTGAGCGCCGCCCTCCCACCCCATCTCCGTTCCTTCGCCGATATTACTAGACGTTAAAGACTCACTAGAGAGCATCGAAGGGGCTGGATGGAGGGTATAGCCCTGGGCTGACCACCAGAGGAGAGAAGTAGGACTGAGGTGGCCGCTGACCCTGGACTTTGGCTGATAGGTTGGGACCAGCCTGGCCAGGCAGGGACCCGCCCGAGGCTGGATCACCCCTCAGTGTCTGTCCATCAGGACTGACTGAGCACCTGCGGGCTCCTGGCTGTGTTGGATGCTTTACGCCCTGACCAGGTGACGTTCTTGGCCGGCTCACAGCCTGCGAGTGGATGTCACTTTCTGAGCCGAACCTTAAACGGGAGACGGGGCGGTGGGGGGTGGAGGGGGGCAGACTGTTCGGAAGGGTGGCCCAGGACGGAGGGAGATGAGTAATGGTCAGAAAGAGCTTCTGAGTTTCCCAATCCGGAACGCGTCCCCCTGGCGGCCTGAGCCCGGGGTGGCTTTTCCAAGTCCCTCCAAAAGCGGGGGTTTGACCCTCCTCCTTAGCGCACGCGGGGCGGGGTGCGGCTCCCGTGCGAGGGAACGGGGGAAGGGGGTTAGCGTGGGAGGGGGTACCCTCCTTTCCCGAGCGCCCCAGCCCGGACTTGGTTCCGGCCCTCCCCAGCACGGGCGGGGTTCACCTGAACCGTCTGGGGCGCCCCAGGTGGCTCGGGGCGGGGAGGAGCCGCGCCCCGCTCCGCCCCGCGCGGCCGCAGCCAACGCCAGCCCCCGGCGGGCGCGCTCGGAGCCGGGCAGGGAGCCGCAGCCGGAGCCGGGCGCGCGGGCGGCGCAGGTGAGCGGGGCGCGCGCGGAGCCGGCAGCCAGGGGCCGGGAGGTGCGGGGACTCCGCGCCGCAGCGCGCTGGGCTCCGCGCGCGGGAGTGGCCGCCGGACGGGGCCGGAGCGGGCTGCGCGGGGCGCCGAGAGGCCGGGGCGCGGCGGACGCAGTTTGGGAGGCGCTGGCCGGAGCCGGGGAGGCCGGGGTGGGGTGATGCCCCGGGGTGGGGGTGGGGAGCGCAGAGCTGCAGGGTTGAGTGGAGGGGGGACCCGGTCCCCGGGAGGCACCGCGAGCGCGCTCCCGCCCCCTGGATGCGGCGCGGGGCCGCCGCGCCCTCTCCGCGCCGGGCTGTACTTTGGCTGTTGCTGTCGAATAACCCACTCGCACCCGGCCGAGTCCCCCCCCCCCCCCCCCCCCCCCCCCCCCCGTCCCGGGCCGTCGGCAAACGTGTGCAGAGCTGCTTGGGCATCCCACCCCCCTCCCACAGCATCCCCACCCCAACAGGGGCCCGAGGTGGTGAGGCTGCGGGTTTCTGCGCCTGGAGGGACGTTGGTGAGAGCCGCGGTGCCGGTGAAGGTGGGGAGCTGACCCATCTTGCAGGGCCGGGCGAGTGCTAACGTGGAAAAAGTGATAAAATGGCATTTGAATCCGAGTGGCTCTAACTCTGACCTTGAGCAAGTTACCTCACTTCGCCGATGGTCGTTGTAGTCCAAGGTAAATGGGCAGCGTAAGCATTACAGCAGCCTTAAGTTATGTGATGATGGTACGGCGCAAGCACAGTCTTGGATGAAACTTCTCTCTGCGCTCCCCGCTCTCTCCCCACCCCCGAGAAGAGAATGTAAAACCGTGTGGTTGCTAGAGGTCTCCGCTCCTACAGCAGAAGGGGAAGGGTCGCGGAAGCTCACATCATCCAATTTGCGGAGGGGTCTTCTCCGACTTGCTCCTTCTCCAGAAATCCTCCTTCCTAATCCCATTCCCAAACCCATGATTGTGAGATGCCAGAAGGGGATTTGTCAGCCTGCACCCATCATTACTGGTTGTATTCCTCAGTGCTCATTGAGTTGGGTTTTGGCCCCATGAAAATTGCCTTAGGCAAGACAGGAACTGATGGTATCACACAAATGGAAAGGGTGAGTAGGGGTTAGCTTCAGGTACAGCTGGATGGGGGACTCATTTAAGGTTGCAGGGCTTGTTCTCAAATATATCTTTTGACTCTAATGTACTCTGTGTGTACTGTTTCTTAGTATGGAATCATACATGACTCGGCACCTTCAGGTTTATCTGCTGCTTTAGAGCATCATTTAGGGGCGACCCACACTTACGGCTTCCAGGATATTCCAAGGGGGCCACTTGACATGAGACTGGTAGGACAGAGCGGTCCCTGGAAAGAAACAAGGCTGTGGTTCATGGGCGGGAAAAGATTGAAAAACACTGCTTCAGAGAGGATTTCCTCTCATCTTTTACATCCTTATAGCAAACCTTCTCACAGTATTAGTGGAACCAAGCCTTATTGGTACATATGAATGTACTAATGTTTGAATTATGGGAGTGCATACTTTGTCTGGGTGCCGTTTGGGCCTTGGGGGACTAGTCAACGACTGTGATAGCCCCACTCCATTTATAAGGGCAAAGGATGCGCAGTTCCCAGTGAGAAGTCTGCATTCTGAGCAGATCTCACCAGCACGTGACCATTGCCAGTCTTTGCTTTTGCTCACCACTACCTTAAGGAAGTTGATAGTAAAGTATAGACAACCTGAGTGCTGTCTTCTGTCAGCCACTGAGTCTTTATCCCAGGGCTGGGAGGCATCTTGTGTGTTCATCCTTTCATCCATTGTTGAATTGTTCATTTATCTATTCAACATTCAAAAAACACCCAGCATATGCCAGCACTGTTGCCAAGGATGAAAACGATTGCTCTGAGTAGCTCACAGTCTAGATGGAAAGGCAGATGGGCAGATAACTGTGCCCGGCACTGTGCAGCTGTAGAGGTAGCACAGGCGTCCAAGTTGAGCTGTAAATGCATGAAGATGAGTAGGGCTGCTCCGGGACAAGACTGGATTTAGGGGCCGGAGTGATAACAGAAGGTAGGGCGTTTGCCCTGCACACTGCTGACCCGGATTCAATTCCTGGCATCCCATATGGTTCCCTGAGCACCACCAGGAGTGATTCCTGAGTGCAGAGCCAGAAGTAACCCCTGAGCATCGCTGGGTGTGACCCAAAAAGCCAAAAAGAAAAAAAGGAAAAAAAAAGAAAAAAAGAAAAAGACTGGATTTAGCCCGGCTTCCCTGCTGATGCCTAAGGGTATTTGGGGACTTTTTCTTGTTCTTTCTTTCTTTCTTTTTTTTTTTCTTTTTAAATCACAGTAAGATACGCAGTTACAAAGTTGTTCATTGTTTGGTTTTGGTCATATAGCGTTCCAACATCCATTGCTTCACCCGTGTACATTTCTTGGGGACTTTCTCTTGTAAGCAGTCTCACTAGGTCTCCTCTAACACTTCTGGATCTGGGTGGTTCAGAGTGGTCCCATTTGGAAAATGCTCTTGATTTTCTCTGCTCAGCTGAGGGTGCCTGGAGTCCATCAAACCTTCATGAGATACGAGTCAAAGAAGAAAGGGAGCTTGCTTTGTTTGTTTGTTTAGTTTTCTGGTTTTGGGCCATACCTGGCAGTGCTCATGATTTACTCTTGGCTCTGTATTCAGGAATCACTCCTGGTGATGCTCTGGGGACCATATGGGATGCCAGAGATGGAACCCAGGTTGACTGCATGCAAAACAAACACCTTACCCACTGTACTATCCACACTCAGTTTCAATTTTTAAGTGATTTGGGGGACACATCTGGTGGTGCTCTGAGGACCTCAAGGGTCTGGGAATTGAACCCGGGTCGGCTGCATGCAAGGCATGCATGTCTTCTATCTCTCCAGCCCTGGGAGCTTGTTCTGAGTGATCCTCAAAGTTGCTAGTCCTCTGTGTCTTGACCAGAATGAGTACCCCCTAAACACATCACTGGCAAGGGTCAAGAGGAGTGCCATGAGTATTCTCATCAAACTGTCTTCTGGAACTGGGATGGAGGTAGTGAGGCTTCCTTCATCAAGCACACTGATGTTCTATCTCTGAATAAAATTAGAGCTCTACAGTGGGGAAGAAAACCAGGTTGCCTGATGGATGGGCTTTTAGGGGTGCAGCCGGCAGTGTCTCCCATGGTGGTCACAGATGAGCAGAGGTATGGCCTGTCCTGGCAATCAGGAGCTGTTCAGACAATGTAAGTACTGGATGTGGCTGAGTGGCGGAAAGGAGCCAAACTAGAGATTAGAGATGGGAGTGCCTGCGAAAGATGCTACTCTGACTATCAATAAAACGTGTGCATCTTGGTCCTGTTCCCCAAAGAACTTTCACCCCAATCCGTTCCTGTTCCTATCTGTAATAGCCACAGTGACTGACTCTGGGAGCTCACACAGGACGAATCAGGGTGCAAGCACTTAGGAGCAGCCGTGGGTACAGATGGTGCCTGACTTGGTGACTTGATGGATGACTTTGTTTTCCTTTTTGGTGGTCCCAATGTTATTTGCATTTTGTGGAAACTGAACTTGGATCTTTTTCTAGATCGGGCATGGTGCTCTTGGGAGGCTGGATGGCTCTGTGCTCTCTGTGGGTGGGGTTGCCAGCATTTTTGCACAGCACTTAATATTCTCCGTGTGCTTGGGTTGATCGGGACATTACCCTGGTGTGAGTTGAGGAAGACCTGTAGTCTGAGAAAGTCTCACAAAGGGTTCCACAGTGCCTCCTTCCACCCATTTTGTACCCCTTCGCTTCTTGCTGGCGCTATGTCCTGGCTTCTTAACCTGTAATTCAGGAGCCAAATGGGGTCACCAAACTAAGGTAGGGGTCATTTGAAGATGGACTTGTTATTCATTATCAGTAAAGTTTTGCCCTTTATATCTATTTTATATATCTACGTATCTGGGCTAACATAACAATTTCTTTCTTTTCTTGGCTTTTGGGCCACACCTGGCAGTGCTCAGGGCTTACTCCTGGCTCTGCACTCAGGGACCACTTCTGGCAGACTTGGGGAACCATATGGGGTGTCAGGGATTAACCTCAGGTTAGCTGCATGCAAGGCAAGCACCCTACCATCTGTCTTATCACTCCGGCCCAGCCACAGTTTCTTGAGTGGAAAAAGAATTGGAAGTGGAAACAGTTTAAGGACCTCTGCTCTGCAGCATGTCTTTGTTTCAGCTTCATTAGCTGTCTCCAAACTGACAGGCTGGGCTTCAGTGATGATGTCAAGTGGTGGTCGGTAGTAGAATAGCAGAGCTCTTCCGAGTGGGAGTCCAGTGGGTGAGTTTACTGTAGCTGTGTTCAGTAGGAAAGTAACCTCTACTTCCTACTGCTTTTAAATCATTAAAGCCAGTTTTTGCTTGCTTGCTTGCTTGCTTGCTTGCTTGCTTCCTTCCTTCCTTCCTTCCTTCCTTCCTTCCTTCCTTCCTTCCTTCCTTCCTCCCTCCCTCCCTCCCTCCCTCCCTTCCTGTCTCTTTTTTGTTTTTGGGCCACAGTCCAGTGTTGCTCAGGTCTTACTCCTGACTCTGCAGTGAGGAATCACTCCTGATGGGGCTCAGGCAAGTGCCGCTGTACTAAATCTCCAGTTCCTAGCCTGGTTTTTTCCTCTAAAATATGAGGACGGGTGGCTCTTGGTTTCCATTTGAAGCAGTGAATGATGGTGGGTGCTTGTGAGAATGGACAACCAGGGCTGCTCCTTTTTAATACTCTGCCGTCTCTTGCTAAGCACAGAGCTTGGTGAGGGGGTGAGCTGGAGAGAGAAGTCTTGGGCACATTCATTCCACAGGTCTTCGTTATTCAGTCCCATGTGTTGGACGTTGTTTGGGTGCTGGGGATGAGAGTATATGAGGAAAACAAAAGTTCGATTTTCATGGAGCTTACAACCTACTGGAAGGAGACATTTATTTATGTTTTGTCTAACATATCAGGTGTAAAAGGACTTAATGGGAAATAAAATGGC